GAGCACGAAATCTCCCAGTGCAGAGTTAAACAGCCACATTTATTGTTTGGGTGGGGGGATGAGGGCCAGCACTCAGGGATGGCACCTGTCGGGTCCTGCGGTGCTGGCCAGGCTGGCTGCGGGGCTGTTGGTACATGATAAGTCTTTGATAAGCCTTGCTTTCTAAGATAAGTCTTGCTTTCATCCTAAAATTGTTGCTTTATGTTTGTCTAACCCCTTGACTTAAAGGGAAAGGGCAGTCAGCAGAGTCTGGCTGTTTTATAGGCCCATATGCCTAGTAATATGTTGGTGCTGCCTGCCACACCCCTGTCCCAGCCAAAGGAATATGAGAAAACTGGATTATTTTAATAATGTAAACAACTTGAAGTACATGTGCGTTCTTTCATAAGTGTTCGCAATGAGGATCAATTGACTTTAGCTGCAAAATGAGCTAAAACAGGGAGACATATATGGGTCAGCTATCTTTCTGTATGAGCAGCACGTAGGTGCTGGAGGGTGGAACGGAGACATGACTAGATGACCTTTAAAGGTCCCTTCCAGCCCAACACATTCTATGATGTTAATGACCAGTGATTACCTACATACACACACACACTTTCACACATCTCTTTGAAATAACTTTTGGTTAATAGAAGCATAAAGTACAAATCAGAGTAAACTTAGTAACGCTAGACCTAACAAAGACCTGTCTAGAGAGAAAGAACCATAGTTATCCCAATAACACTGAAGCTATAACTTCTCTTGATGTTACAGAGTTGTTGTGAGGGTTTTTGATTTGGTGGATTTTGTTCCCCCTGCCCCCTCCCCATTTAGCAAGTGGTGATCTGTTTCTTCAGTGCTGGGTTTGGGCAGCAAAAAGGCTGCTTTGAACTCCTCAGTCACAAAGTAGTAGCAGACGCTATCCAGGCAGCAGTTGGATGTGGCAATACACCTTGTCACAGAGGAGAAGTTCTTCATAACCTGGATCAAGAAACAGGTAGCTCCAGCTCTCTCCATTATGAAGCTGGCAAGTATCCCAAGGTAGGCTGGCAGAAAACATATTAGAAATACAATCAGATTTGCATAAATAATGCGAACAGCTTTCTGGATTAATTTCTCTTCTGATGAATTTGTGTTCAGATGTCCCTTAAGGTTTCTGATTACTTCTGTGGAGCAAAATGTCAAGGTCGCTAATGGAAGAGTAAAAACAAAGAAAATGGAAAGCAGGCTCAGTGTAGTGGGCGTGGTGGTATCCTTCTGAAAGCAGAGAGCAGCCTGTCTCTGCCAAAGCTGTGAGGTGGCACCGATTATCACGGAGACCCACAGAAGCCCACAGAGAAGAGCAGCTTTTGGTGGAGACCTGAAAGTCCTGGCTCTCAAGGGGTGCTTTATGGCAATGTATCGATTGATAGAGATAAATGAAATTATGTAAATGCTCGCTACCATGTTGATAAAATACATTGTCTCTATAAACTGGCAGAGTTCATCTCGGGTTGACTTGTTCCAGAGCAAATAAGCCATGGCAGGCAAGATGCAGATGACGAAGCAGTCTGCAAAGACTAAATTGATTACATACACCCTGGTTTCTGTCCACTTCTTCATCTTGCAGAAGAACACCCAGAGGGCAAGGCTATTAAATAGTACTCCAAAAAAGAAAATGAGGTTATACAGAGCAAATTCAATAAGACGAACAGGATGGTACAGTTCTAGATTTGCGACACTGCAGTTGTTGGACACGTTCATTGTCCTGTTGCGTAGATGTTGCATGATCTTCTGAGACCTGAAATAGGAAAAGACATGGTAAGACTTTCCTCCTACCCCTTAATGGATACATGACTCCTAACTGATCAGGTTTCTGAGCTTTTGGGCTGCCTTGCAAACCTGGAGCTTCTGCTCCAAGCTGAGGAGCTGAACCCAAGTTCCTGCCTCATAGAGTCATTCTTGACATCTTAAGGGAGTGAGTGAGGCGTGCTGCTCTCCATCTCCTTGGGAGTGGAATGGCAGGTGGAGGGATTAACCTGAGTTTAAGCTTATGCATTCCAGAAGAGAGTATAAATGTGCAGATGTAAAGCGGAAAATCACACCCAAAAGAGGAAATGCTGGTGCAAAACAAGGAACCGGCCAGTAAGAGCTCCATTAGAATGGTTCCTGCTCAAGGCAAGCATCCTGCCACCCCAGGAAATCCATGCTGTCTAAGTCGTAGGTACTGAGCCTCTGTCACACTGGCTACTAGATGTTTCACAAGACTATTGGTCGTGGGAAGAGTGTGAACTCATGGGCTGATAAAAATCAGCTTTCATCAGACCCCATCCTGTGGAAAGTGGCTTTATGTGGCATGCACACGGACCAATTCTCTGAACTGGTGATTCCATTTACATGTCACTGAATTTCTGCTTGCATCTAAATGCACTTTGGAAAGAATTTAAACCATTTTTTTACCCCTCTAACAGGACAGTGAAGTGGTGAGGGATCTGGTGAAAACCTACAGCTTTCAGAGATGTAAGAAAGGACACCATGACTGAACATGCCTGCTTAAGCAGTTATTTGCCTCTGCAAGCAGTGCGGACCTTGTGGTCAGCTGGTGAAGGCACCGCCTGTGAAGTCAGACTTCAGTTCTGAAGTAACCGATAAACACACAAATAACTCAGTTGCCGGCAGGAATATGTGTCTTAGGCATTAATCGTGGCCCAAATTCAATTCCCAGCATGAGGGCTCACAAGTGTTCCAAGTCATGAGGCAGCCCAGAGACTTCAGGGAAGAGGAAGGAAATGAGCAGAGGATGTTAAAGCATGTCACAAAGCACAAATAGATTATGGCTGAGCACAAAATAGCTTTAAAGAGATGGAGTTTGATAGGGTAGCATATCCTGTGGCTGCTGGAAATGCTTAAGGTAGGGTAGATGAGATGGCTGCAGCATCAGAGGGGCTTGGCAGCAGAATACAACTGTGAGAAAAGGGTGGAGATGGCTGTGAAACAGCATCTTGCTGCTGCTGGAGGACCAGGAGCAGGCTGAAGTTTGCTGGACAAGATCACCATGGAGTGTGTTCTGCTTTCCCCCTACCGTAGACTGGGGAGAGCTGGTCAGCAGTGGTCCCCCACCACAGAAACTGGTGACTGGCAGGGGAAGAAGGTCAGACAAACTGCTTCCAAGACAGAAGGGCCCTAGGTCAGGGACCTTGTCAGAGCACTGAAGTGAGGAGCTCTGCTGTTTCCAAATAGCATAAAGAAATGTGGAAACTGCCTGCTCTGACCTTGCTGTTGTTCACAGCTCTCTCAAACACAGTGATCTAGGGCACAGCACTTCTTTCCTTCTTTTGAAACTTGTGTTCTTTCAGGCTCATCTATCACCACGTTCTTTGAGAACAGTAATGTAGTCACCCTGACCTCAGAACTGTTTTGAAAGACACTGGAAAGGGGTGCAAGGGTTCACTTAGGCAAAAAAAAATAAATCTTTTCGAATCCCTCTTTTCCCATGCTGAGATGAATTTAGCTTCCAGTTTCCAGCTGCTTTAGGAAGTAATATGCTGTGATCTGCCAGGTAAAGTACCTGGAAAATACCTTGGAGTACGAACAGAAAATGAAAGGCCCAGAGATTACAACCTCCAGAAACTGAGCATCTAAGCCTCCTCACAGCCGCAGCAGGACCCTAAGCATCAGAAGTTCACAGAGACCAGGAGAGAATGAAGCAAAGTGAGCTTACCTGTAGGTTTAACGCCACAAAATCAGCAGCAGGTCCCTCCGGAGGCCAGGGGTGGGAGGGATGTGCAGCCACGCAGACTGGCCAGGAAAAGCGGGGCCATAGGCTGCATGTGCAGGGCAGGTGCCCAGCACCACCTGCTCGCTTGTCCTTGAGGGTTTCTATAGCACCTCCTCCCGAGTAGCAGAAAACTTCATATCAGTTTGGTCTTGAATGTCAGTCTGCTGACCAAATGAATGTTGGCAGTGCTTTCCAGTTAGGTCTAGGGTCTCGTTGCTCTGCACTTTCTAAAACAGTGTGTTCAATGGCTAGCACTCTGCAAGGGTGAGTCTGAAATGCTGTGCTGAAACCTAAGCTAAGCAAGGCCAGGAGGATGCAGTATCTTGTATTAGATCACGTCATGGAGCTGGAGGTGCAGAGCCCTCCATCTGAGTGCTGAATTGAGTCATGCTTGCACAGCTCTGGGCGGGGAGGTGAGGACACCGAGCACCTTAGCACGTAGCATAGGCTCTCTCTAGTCTGGAGAAAGTCTCTCCAACCCACTTCTGATGGAGACTGCTGCACCAAAATGGGCGCTTGGGATGGATTTGCTGCCTGAGGCAGGTGTAGAGTAGGAGATGGCCATGATGGGGCCAGCAGCAGGGCTCCAGCCTGCACTCCTACACGGTCCTGGCATCTCACGTGTATAGCAAAGAGCCTCATATTTTGGACCCTGCATTGACAGAATTGGGGCAGAGAGAGAGAGCTGTAAGCCCCAAAGGGCTCAGTGATGAGCTATTTAATTAGTGTTGATAATCAGTATGCAATATAGCTATTGGGGAATTGTCTTGCTGCCCGCTTACTCTTAATACCTGACCAGCTGTAACACTTCTTCATTGCAGTGGTGCTAGCAGTGGTTGGCTGCTCATAAAACAGCAGGATGGATACTCTCCTGCCTATGTGAGCTGTGAGAGAAGCCTGGTGGCTCAAGCGCAGGGCTGGAGCACACAGGGACAGGTACGATGGCTGAAGAGTGGCAGCATGCTGATGTCACCCAGGTGTCCCTGGCTTGGAAGGCATCAGGTGGCATCAAGCAGGGGAACAGCACAGCTGTCCAGCAAATGCTGTGCAGGAGAGACGACCTGACAGAAGATTCTGAAGATAAGACCCACTTGCTTCTGCTCTGAGACAAGGCCTATGCACCTCGCAGCTACCCTCTAACCACAGAGGCGTGCATACCCATCACAGACCTTCGTGCTTCCAAAGCCCCCGTGCTTGTCACAGAGGTCAAATTATCAGTGTGCAAGCTAGAAGACACGTAAAATGTCTCTGAACCACACGCTGATAAGCCCCTCAGATACTATCTGGTATTTGTGAGGTGCTGGGGTGAAAGAGAGCAGGGAAGTATGCTGGTATGAAACACTGCAGTGGCTTTTTCGGGTTCTTGTCCTTAGTATGGCTTATAAGTGGTTTCCAAAAGGATTTCACCCCTCTCTTTCCCATGAACGAAGGTGAGACTGACTGTCCTGTAGTTTTCCGGATGCTCCTTCCTGCCTTTCCTGAAGATAGGGGTGACATTTGAGTAAATCAGTGGTGTTAAAGGGAAGAGCACGCCACAAGTGCCAGTTCATACACAGATCTGTCTGTAAAAGGAGAGAAGCACAGCAACAGAAAATTCATTGGGGCAGGGTAAATAAAAGGAGCAGGCTAAGCTTTCCTATAGAAGATGCCAGCTCCACTTCTACGTGCTGCTGTCCAAAAATCTGGGTATAATGGGACAGGAGGAGTTTCAAATCGAAATGCTGCACTGTGTGTGTTTGCTGCAGCTCATTGAAGCTGCAGAGTGGATGCACTGACTGAGGGGAAGCAAAAAGGTGCGGACACCCATCTTCCGAACAGGTTTTGAACTCTGAAATACTAAATGGACAAAAGCCACAGAGCAGTGGGTAAGGGAGTAAATACCACCCTGGAGCTTTGTGAGGGGTGATGCCTCGGGGCAGCAGTATGCTTGGATGGAGTGACATGAAGGAAATGATGCAATGGAAACCATTAAAAGAGGGTGCTTTCCCTTCCAAGGGAGACTTGTTGATAAGTGTGTTTGTGTCCGCAGCGTGCGACGCAGCATCAAGATGAGTCACACAAGCGTCAGCTCTGCAGAAATGCGGCTGCCAGCCCTGGGAACGGGACTGTGGCTTCCTGAGAGCCCACAGCCCTTTCATGATGGGGCCAGACACCCATTGCAGGAAGAGGCTGATCCCTTGCCGTGGCTGTGGAGGTGAGCTGCCACCCTGGCAGAGCTGGAAAGTCAGAGGGAGTTGTGCTGTCACCTTGGTGTGTCTCATCTCACCCTTCCTCCTCCTCTTCATCACAGCTCAGCTCGCTTTCCAATCCTACCTGTCACTTAGAGACAAATGCCTTTGTGTAAGGGCACTTCTGTTTCAAAACTATGCTATAGACTCACATAATTGATTTTTGTAGCTGAAAAAAAACCCCAAAACCCAAACAAACCCACCAAACTTTTATATAAACGTAAGAACCATTTCGTTTCTGAGAGCCCTGTACTTGGGTGGAGACACCTCATGTTTCAAGAGCTTCAGCAGCTTTTTAATCTATTTTTCTCAACCACCTTGATGCTGATACAAGCCTTCCCAGGGCAGTACTCCAGCCTGGCAGCACAGCAAATGATTGTGCTGGGGAGTGTCTAACGGGTCACAAGAAACATGCTGCTTGCCAGACACACTTGTGCAAACACATCCTGCAAGGTGGACACAAGAGCTTCAGCTTCACTTGCTCCCTGTGCTTGCAGGACAAGCGAAGCCCTCAGCCTCCTCCTGTAGGATGGCGTGGCCCACGTGTTGGGCACCCCTCCTGCTGCCTGTAGGGCACTGAGGGCAGTCTGAACACAATTTGGGGCAGCCCCTGAAGAAACCCTATCCACAGCCCAGGGTCATCATTGAGCAAGCTGTCAGCAGGGTTCATCCAGGCTCTGTCATTCACAAATTGGGATCGGTGAGAGATGAGATGGCTGAGTATGCGTCCTCCCATCTCTGAGAGGCAAAGGTGGGGT